AGTGACCAAGAATTTCCCTAAAAAAATACAACGGAAATAGGGAAATTTTTATAAGGGAAATAAGGAAATTTTTGATATTTTTCATTTAGTTTATGTGGGAAATTTCTTAGAATTATTTTGCTTACACTGAAAATAATTTAAAAGTGAAAATATTTTTGAAAAATATTTAAAAATTTTAAAAATTAAGTTTGTCTGCCTAAAACTTGCCCTTTTGTTAAGAATTTTCTTTGGTTTAGAGGAAAGCCTTTGTAATTAAGGGAAAACCCATTGCTTAGTAGACTTTTTCTTGCAGTGTATTACATGTATAATGCATGCCCAGCTTTCCCTTAACGAGAAACGAATGGTTGGTATCAAATATTTGCTTAAATTTCATATTAAATGCTATTTTTGCCTTTCTAGCACGTGCAAATATGTGTGTTCTGTGGAAAGTGTGGGAAAATATGGGAAAATGCCATACCTATTTTCACCTTAAAATGGAAAAAAAGGTTATGGCAAATAAAAGGGGTTAAATATATGCAAAACTAACAATGTTAATCAGTCAGTTTTTGCCTTAAAAATAACAAGGCAGATCTTTACCTATTTCAGATTGTCACTTTACCGAGTCCCTACTGTCCCTATATTTGGCCACTCAATTCCGTTTTGCGTCCATGTCCAGCAAGGGTTCATTAAATTGCCAACTTAATTTCCTGCATGGCGTCCACGCCTAATGGCAAGCGACTGCAATGAACAATTGCAAGAGGAGGGGGAAGGGGGGCTGAAAAACTGAAAATGAAATTTCATTTTGCGAAATCATTAAATTTGCAAGCAAATGGAAAGCCCACTGACTGACTTTTTGGCTAATAACTAACTAACTAACTAAATAACTTAGTGCTTTTGGCCATTTGGCATCATATCTTCGTCACAATATGGTAAGAGGAACTGCTTGCCAAGGCCACTGCCAACACCCACCGGAAGTCAAAGTTCGTGAACGATAGATAGAGAGTGGTATAGTGTAGTAGCTGTTAAAGCTGTAGAGTGGTTGTTGGGAGGTCAAAGTTAATAGCTGGCACGTAGTTCGAAACACACACAGGATGGCCAGGCCAAAAAGGATCCTCCTGTACTGTCGTGGCCTGGCATGGCTTGGCCTGCTCTTCTATTCAGCGTCGCCTTTTTACATATTTAATGAAATTATTTTCAACAATTTATAATTGCCACGAGCAGTCAGTTTGGCCGGGATACTCGCCACCTCATCCAGCCAGTATCCTTGGGTTCTCGATGGGTTCCAACCTAACCACCCACTGCACCCCCTCTTGCTTGTGTTTTTAGTTAAATGCGCCCTGGGGAGAGTTTTGCCCGGGAAACAAATTATTATAAAGATATACACGAAAATATGTATATTTTTATATGTACTATAAGTTGGATTTGGGGTATAGGAGTTACCTCTACCTGCATCCTGGATAAGGGATCCCGTGTCCCCCGGCGCCAGTTAAGCTGCTTCCTCTTTTGGTTAGCTTGCCACCTGCCACCCCACCCCCCTTCTCACAGAACGATTAACAATCTAACTAATAAGCCTTGGCATCTAATCAAAATGGGGAATTGGGGAAAGTTAGAAGGGAATGTAAGGAACTTGTAGGTTATACAAATTTATTTTTAAAGCATTCTTAAATGTTATATTTAAAGTTTTTTGTATTTTAAGTTAATGTATGGTAAAGTAGCTGATCCTTTTGTTGTTTAATTTGGAGATTCAGTGCTGATGGGAAGGCACCAACTGCGTTAAAGCCAGCCACTAGGACAAGGAGCAGAGCCAGGACCATTTCAGCTTAAGCCTTAACCTTAACCTTAACTGCGCACGCCACAGTTTTTCAAGTTTTGTGGGCGTTAGAGTAGGCGTGGCGCCATAAGCTGCGCTGACATCTCTAGAATCTACATGCTTGGTCCTTACATTCTAGCTCTTTTAGTGTAGTTCCTAAGATCTCACCTTTTATACGGACAAACGGACTGACAAAAGATCGAAGGTCGAAGAACGAAAAAAATTGGTTTTTGTTAGCATTGGTAATAAGCCAAGAGAAGGCCACAAGAGATCTGGAATGGTAGCGATTTGAATTTTCACTTTTCGGCTCACAAAATAAGCTGTCAGCCCCTGTATGTAGTGACGTTATTGTGTTGTATTTCAGCTGTGCACTGAGAGAAAAAAATAGCTTATTTCTGCTAACAAATTTATCACACATTCTCACTGCGAAATAAAATCCAAAGTGGAAACAGAAGTTAAAAGCAGAGAATTCCAGTGTATGTATGTGTCCGAGGATGATCGAGGAAGAAACAAGAACAGTTAATGAGGGAATGAGGCGGAAAGAGGAAAACGAAAAGTTGTTGCTGGTGGAAGAGCTCTGCCAGCGCTGAAAGCTTTTGGGAGAGCAAGTCCAAACGCAGCGAAGATTAACAAAAACAAAAACAAATAAGCACTCAGAGCATAGGCTTGGAGCAGCCTGTCTTATATTCTTCTATTCTTGTAAGCACGGCGATCGAAATGCCGTTGGCTTTTTGTCAAGGCAGTTTAGCTCCGCTCAATTGAGAATAAAGATTACTTTCTTTTGGCGATTTAATCTATATTAGTTTTTATCCTTTTTATTGACTTAAGGATGGCAAATTCGTTGTCTTTCCAGAAACAATATTCCTGGATTAACATTGTTTTTAAAGCTTTAACCTAACTTAACTCATTAATGTTCATGTTCATTGTTGTTCTAAACGTCTTATAGCCATTAAGTTGGCTTATTGGCGTTTAATAAATGTATTTACTGTTATATTAAAAAAAAAACCTAACTTAACTTTCATTATATATAGTATTCCAATTTTCATTATTATTCATTCTCATAAATATTTGAATAATTTAAGCACTTTTTTTAAAATATGTAAAGGGTAACCCATGTAGCGTTTGCTTTTTGAACTATCAATATTTTTGACTTCGACATTTCGAATGTCATTGTCAATGTGGCAGTTATTTAGTAGAAAATTTCGTTGGTTTACAAAAGGGTTAAGTTTACGCTCGAGAAGAAAATGGGAAAATATTCATATTTTTATAGCGATTTTAAAACGCAAATCTTCTGTGGGCCACCCTATATATTGATAGCAATCAGAGCTTAGTCTATAAGACTCAAAAAACATATGAAATACTATTAAAATTAAAACATTTTCCTAACAAGAAAAAGCCACCTAAAAATATTCAAAATTTGAGCTGCTTTTTTCAAATATAATTCTTGCTTTTTATAAATTTTTTTTTATTAACTTAAAAGCTTATTTTTGTTAACTAATTCATCGCTCATTTTTAGCTTTGTTAAATAAAATCCAAATACATTAGAAACATGATCAAATTATATCTATTTTGCTATCATTTTTTTTTCAGTTCACAAAATCTAAAAACAAACAAAAACATTTTCTAATTTATAGTCCTGGTAATATTTGATTATGAAAATCTATAAAATCTGCAAAATCTGCTAAATCTGCTTACTTATGAGCAGTTAAAGCTGTCTCTATATATATAGATATATATCTGAATATAACCCAAACGATATTTATATAAAAATAAACCTAAATAAATCATACTTTTCGATTTTCAACGTATGTACCATAAAGGGGGGAGGGAACCTTCTGTCTTTCTGCCTGGCACGTAATTCGGCAATTTGGTGAGTGGCTGAAAAAAGGCTTTTGAATTTTTAATTGGAAAGGCAATCGTGCGTGGCCTTCGAACCCATTCGAACCTTCTTCATCTTCTTCTGCCTTAACTTGCCTCTCTAAGTGTTGTAATAATAACAATTTGGTATACCACCCCCCCCAAACCCCCTCTCTCTTCCTTTCTATCCATATATATATATCCCTTTTATTGGGCTTGTCTGCTGCTTATCATTTGACAGCCTCCTCCCTCTGGAGCCAGGGCTGCCTTAGATAACCCTTATCAAAAGTGAGAGACGTCACATTATATTGAGCTAAAATCAGTTTACAACATGTACATACGTATGTATGTATTGGTAAGCTGAAAATCTATTTCGTATTTGCCCATTTTCCTTGTCACATTCAAAAACTAAGACATAGGCGGGGTGGTGGGTGGCATGGTGATCCATGGTGATAAGGGGGAAACGAAGGTGAACCCCATTTGGCCAACAGAGAGAGAGACAGTGAACAATGCCATCAATCAAACTTGGCTAATAATGTGAATATTCTGCGACCTCTGACTGGCCAACTCCCTCCCCCCTACGTTCCCCTTGGAATGTCAACTAATGGAAATAATTGGAGCGGCCTTCAAGGCCTGCAATGACATTCATTAAAATTGTTGACTTCTTGAACTCAAGTTTTGATTTGATTTTAATTGGAAATTGTTTTTAGGACAAGGTTGGATTTCTTAGTAGCGTCTGGGTTTTGGGTGTTCTTAAGAAGATTCTAAGAGTTTGAAATGGAAAGCTGATTTTAATGTGGGAAATATATTTTAGTTTTGGTGGCAATTTTTAAGTTTAATGTGGGAAAATATTAAGTTGCGGATTTGTTTTTGAAAATATATCAAAAAATGTGTCTTAAAAACCCAAAAAAGCAAAATTTCTTTTTAAATTTAAGATGAATATATAATTATTGATTAAATTTAATCAAGGAAGTTTTGGGATTATCTTTATAATATTTATCCTTTATAAAGGGTGAATGTTAAACTAAGACCAGTAAGGAAATCTGTAAAAATTCATCAAATAATTCCTACACCGGAAAAGCTACTAAAACTTAAGTAAAAAATCCAAAAAAAAATATTCAACTTTCTTCTTAAAAACACAAAAACAAATATTAATAAACACAAATTTTATTAGAAATATAAAAAAGCATTTAAAAAATATTTAAAAAAACATTTAAAAATTATTTAAGAAAAACATTAAAAAACCATCAAAGTACATATTAAAAACTAACATTTTCTTCTTTAAAACACAAAAACAAATATTAATAAGCACAAATTTTATTAGAAATATAAAAAAGCATTTAAAAAATATTTTAAAAAACATTAAAAAAATATTTAAAAAAAAAACATTTAAAAACCATCAAAGTACACATTAAAAACTAACATTTTCATATTTAATAATATAAATATCAAATATTTTTATAACATTTAATCAATTAGTAAAAAAAAAAACCTCTCCTTACACCCAAACAAAGTACAGCGCCACCTATGAGAAACAATGGCAGGTTTCCTTCTTGCACTGTCCCAGCCAATGACCTTGCCGCTTGCAATAGCTATGGCACTGTGGATGATGTGGCGGATAACGCGACAGCTGCTGGCACAGATCGGCATCGGTCTGAATGTGTCGCACTTTGATGGAAACAATACCCAATGGCTTGTCCGTGACATCCTCATCGAAATCCGTATCCAACTCGTTGGCATCCAGACTGGGTATATCTACGTCTAAAGGTTTGGCTTGACCTTGGCCCATCTGCATTAGCAGAATGCTAGCCAGGATTAGGCAGAGACTGGGCAGTAGACTGGCTTGCATTGCGTTCTTCTTGATGGCAAACAAACAACTGACTAAGCAATGCTTTCAGTCCAATGTTCTCAATATTTATATTCAGATTCTGATTGAGTTTCCCGCCTTCCAGTTGGCTTTATCAGCTTTCAGCTTTCAGTTTCAGTTTCAGCTTTCAGTTCCAGAGGTCACAGAGCTCAGCTCTCTCGTCCGTTCTAATCGCTGGTCTTGGCAGCTATTCACGGCGCAGTTTTATTATTATTTTTTCTTTTTTAAAAGATTATTTTATAGAATTTAATGGGTATTAAGTTAAGGGAGGTGTAAGGGTCGGTTCTTATGCTTTTTTTTAGACTGAAAAGTCAGCTCTGCCAAGCCATCTTAAGACATAAAACAAACCCTAAAGAAACCTAAAAAAAACCTCTTTAAAAATCAAAGTTTTTTAAGATTATTTAAACCTTATATTGCTTTTAATACCCTGTAAACATACACGCACACCCCACCCATATGTGTGATGTATTATTTGTTGTGAAATTGCCACAAAAAATTTCCTTGCCTCCTTGCCCCCTCCTCATTTTTTTGATTCTTGCCACAAAACACAAAATTACAAATGTTGAGCGAACGCACAAATTTATGAGGAAATTTGATTTTTATGTTCGACGGAGTATCCTCTCCGCTGCTTTTCAGCACAGAGACGACGACGCTGTCATTTCCTTTTGTGGGAAATGGGAAATGCCTTTCCACCAGAAGAAGTTAGTAAAATTGATGGCCAACGGACAGGCAGTTAAAGCCACATAAAAATAAACATTTCTTGGCCCAATTCTGGCATATGGGGCCAGGAGTCTCATTTGTTTTAAAATGCAAAAACCATAAAAATAATCATCATAATATTACACAATAATAATAATAATAATAATAATAATTACAAAACTCAAATGTAAAACACAATGAAAACAGCTGCCAAGAAGTAACCCATCTACAGTTTTCCTTGCTGTTTTTGAGAGAGAGGAAAAGTCAATAAAAAAGGAGGAAGGAAAGAAAGGATGTTAGCTCGGTTAAGATGAAGAAGTCCTATGTACCCTGGAAGTTGGGGGTTAGCTTTGTTTAGAAGATGTTAGAAAGTTAGTTAGTAAGTTCATTAATATCTTAAGAAGTAGTAACTATCTTCTAGCCATTTTTCTAGCTTAAAATGTCTTTACTTGCCTAGTTAAAGTCCAACTAAAAGCCACGTAACAAATCTTCCAACTAATTTCTTAATTCCCTTAAAAAATCTTATAAATTACACTAGCCAACAAAACACAAAACATGAGAAACTTTTTCCCTAAACGCTTTAATTTCATTGCTGCAAATGAAGCGCAATAAGTTGAACACCACGGAAAAGTGGTTGGGTTTTCCTTAAGCTTTTCTTTTTTCTTTACTTTTTCTTAGATTTTTTTTTTCCTTCCTTTTTTGTTTTACTTGGTTATGAGGTTTAAGCGAATCGAAGAAAACAGGTGGAAAAATACGGTAAAGAAACAATTTCTGTTGTGCTTAACTTGTTGATGATGGCCATGAAGAGAGAGAGAAAGAGAGAGAGAAACAGAGACAGAGAAACATTTTGTCAGTCAAGAAAAAGTTTCATTTCTTTCCTTATTTTTCCTTTTAATTAAAAAAGTTTACGCCTCTTGATATTGTTGTGGTTGTATGGTTGATATGCCTGCTGCTTAGAGACCCAAGCTCCTCAAAGTGATATCAAAATCCCATATGGGTTGGTCTTCTTTTATTTTTCCTTTTCCTGTCATTTGATAAGATGGATTCCCACAGCGGGACTTCAATCTCTAGTTCTAATGTCTAGCTGGGTGGCCCTGTTAAATATTTTGATAAAAAAAATGTTAATAAAAATGCATAAAAGCTTGAATAGAAAAGAAAGAAATGAAATCTAAAACATATCTTTTAGAAAATATTATATTTTGTTACGATTTTCTGGTATATTTTTTGTTCAGTGCAGCAAGTTAATCTCTACAAAATGCGTTTTACTTAGGGTAATCATAGAGAGTCTGGAAATAAGGCAAATTTTTATATAGTTTTAACTTTAAGTGTTTGATTTTAGTTTTTGTCATTAGCCTGTTTGATTGGTGGCAAAGGGAGTGTTCGTTAGGCATTTTGCCTTTTAATGACTGTTTAGTTACAACAATCTGCTAAGACAGGTCGTGTTTACTTTACGCCGGAATCGCTTCTGGCTAAGTCTCTGAAGGAAATATGGCTAAAAAGTCTTTTCTTAATATATATTAACTATATATATTGATTTTCTAAGTGATACTATCATAGAGCGCGATAAAAAACAACTAATAAAAATTAATCATTATATCTTAACTTAACAAGAGTTAATGCTAAGTTAAATAGAGCCATCTGTTGGTAAAACCTTGCCCTAAGGCATACTTTTCAATGCCTATTTAAGGAGTTTTGGCCTTAACGCCTTTTAAAAATATATTTTTGATTTAAAAATATTTGTGTTGATTGATAAACTTTGTTATTAAACAAATATAAAAACACAACTAATAAAAATTAATCACTATATCTTAACTAAACAAGAGTTAATGCTAAGTTAAATAGAGCCATCTGTTGGCTGAACCTTGCCCTAAGGCATACTTTTCAATGCCTACTTAAGGAGTTTTAGCCTTAACGACTTTTAAAAATTTATTTTTGCCTTAAAAACTTTTATATTGATTAATAAATATTGTTAATAAAACCAAGATACATCATTTATAAAAAATATATTAAAATTTAATGTATGACATAGGTTTTTTATTAAATAAATAATTTGAATATTTCTTAAGCAATTTGAAGTGCTATTTTCTTTGAAAATTTCCTTAAAAAGCTTAAAAATTAAACAAAATTTAGCAAAATAAATGTTTGTTAATTATATTTAAATATTTTAAAATATATTTTAATCATTTGTACGGCAAATATTGTTAGTAAAATAAAACTAAATTCAAATTTAAATAATAAACTCATTATATTTTGACCTATATGAGCCTGACCTTGGCATAAACTTAAATGTAAAGACATAGATATATATACCTAGATAGATATATATATATAGATAAAGACAACGATATATATAACTTGTTTAAATGGCATAATGAAACGCTTGTCGACTAATTGGGTTACACTTGAAGATACACAAAGATTATGGCGTCTTGTGGGCAATGTCTATGGCACCAAATATGGTACATCCTTTCCGCTTCCTTTCCCTTCTTGCTAAACACACACACATGCATACAAACACACACACACACACTTAGACAGACAGACATACACACGGATGACATCGTCAAACAACTACATGAGTTCGCAATTAATTTGTCTCAACAATATGAAAACGGCTCAAAGCTAAACTGTCATCTACTCATACTTGGATACACTGGGAGAAAGTGTGCTTGCATTTCATATATGTATTTTTAAGAGATTTGTAAGATATTTTTAAGGTATTTTTAAGGTATTTTTAAGATATTTTTAAGATATTTTTAAGATATTTTTAAGATATTTTAAGATGTTTTAAAGATATTTTCAAATATAGGAAAGAGACTTTTAAGATATTTGTAAGATATTTTTAACACATTTTAAAGATATTTTGAAGACATTTTAAAAATATTTTTAAGATAGGACTTTTAGTGAGATTTTTAAGATATTTTTAAGACATTTAGTTAGTTTTAAGATTTTTCAAGGTAATTTTAAGGTATTTTTTGAAGATATTTTCAAATATATGCAAAAGAATTTTAAGACATTTGTAAGATATTTTTAAAAAATTTTTAAGGTATTTTAAAGATATTTTTACGATAATAAAAAGATAGTTTTAAGATAAGATTTTTAGGAAGATTTTTAGGACAGACATTTTTAAGATATTTTTAAGACACTTTTAAGGTGTAAGATTTTTCAAGGAAATTTTAAGGTAGTTTTGGGATATTTTAAAGATATTTTTATGACATTTTTAAGTATTTTTAAGAAAAGAAGATTTTTAAAAAGAATTTTAAGATAAAGGCATTCGTAAGATATTTTTCGGAAATTTTAAAAATTTTATTAATATATTTTAAAGATATTTTTAAGATAAGATGTTTATGAAAATTTTTAATATAAAGTCATTTTTAAGATATTTTTTAATTAGTTTTAAAATTTTTAAGGTAATTTTTAGGTATTTTTGGGATATTGTAAAGATATTTTCATCTTTTTTTTAAGTATTTTAACGAAAATAAGATTTTTAAGAAGTATTTTAAGATAAAGGCATTCTTAAGATATTTTTCAGATATTTTAAAAATTATTTTAAGATATTTTTGAGATATTTTAAAGGTATTTCTAAGATATTTTAAATTATTTTTCATCTTTCTTATAAGTTAAAAGTTGATTAATTGATTAATTAATAATGTATTTTAAGCCTTTTTTGTTATGTATTTAATTATTCTTATTTATTAGTATATATCTTAAATTTTTTCTTACTTAAAATAGTAAATATTAATATTTTAGATCAACTACGTAACGTTTAAAAATCTATAAAAATGTTGGTCTAGTGGTTAGTAGTAAAATATATTTATATTTTAGCTTAAAAAGTTAATTAATGGACTTAATTTTGAAAATATTACAAAAGAAATTAATAATTTAAATAACAAAATAAATATTAAATAACAAATTACTTATTTTAAGGTTAAAGCAAGACATATCTTTTCATATTTTCCATATTCTCCAGATTTTTACTTTATTTTTTGTTTATTTTTAACTTTCATAAACAACAAACTAACCTCGAAAGATAAGACCAGCCTGGTTGGATGCGGAAAACTCCCTTCAAAAATCTCTCTGCCTGGGCAATGTGTGACTGGAAAACCATTTGATTTGGCCACTGCAGGCAGAAGTACTTTGTTGTTCTCAATCCAAGCATTAGATATACACAAATTCTATAGGAATCATGTTTGTGGATCAAGCCTGTGTCCCCACACCCACCCCCACACACACACCAGAAATGCCTTGTAATCTAATCAAATGACAATCAAGTAAGTGAATGTGTAGGTGTGTATGTGTGTGTGTGTGTTACCTGATTTTGGCTTATGTTTCTGATT